TTCTCGTTGGATCGGAAGAAAAATTGGTCTCGTCGAAATTCCAGATATGACCGGGCTTGTCTTGCAACTTCAAATCAGATATGCAAGTATTCAGGCGATCGTAAAAGCCAAAGATGATGAATGGATTACTTGTAGCTGACTTTCTACATCTTTCCAGTTGCTCAAGTTTTTTTTGACTTAATCTATTACGCTTGCAAAAATTTTTAAACCACTCTTTGTTAGGCCTTCCTTCCTTAAACTGTAGTAGTAGTAGTAAGGTGGTTTTCTTGTACATAGGTTTAAACTATTGCTTGTATCTCCGGTTTAGTGAGAGCAAACCCCCATTTTGCCATAAATTTTATCTTATCACTTAAATCTTTTTCAATTTCTTTGGTTAGAGAAGTGTTCCTTCCCTGTTTATTAAGTAGAGGAAAGGCACCAAATTTGAGACACTTTTTATGAAAAACAAATATAAAACAGAATATTCAAAAGTTTTAAAACATTTATTTCGAAAACTTAAATTTAATATTTCTAGAACACAATAAAAAAAATAAAGCGAATAAAACATATATTTTTACAAAAAAAATACATTTAATTTTTTTTTGTGACATTTAATATTAAAAATAAAAGGTGCCCTAATTTGGGATAGCCAGGTATCTAAATTTGAGATAGGTACCTTAATTTGAGATACTATTCAAAAAAGCCCTTTCCTTTACAGAAAAGGCAAATAAATGTGATGTACTGTATTTCTCCACAGTCTTCATGTGCCCACCTGCCACATTGGTAACACTTTGCCCATCGTTCGCCATATCTATCGTCGGAAAATTTGCCGGTGCAAAATAAACATCCCGCGTCGTTTTGGACTTCCGTCCACTTTGGTTGGACGATAAATCAGCTAATGGAAAGTCTTCACTGCTATCTGAGCTTAAACTCGAAGAAACTTTCCGCTTCCTTCTTGTTGTTTTGCTTTTTGATGTATAAGGTTTACCTACGTCTTCATCTGCTATTTCTTCTTCGGGTGTTTCTGTTTTTTTTATCTAACGCCTTTTGTTGAGCTGTTTTTTTCTGGAGCAAATACACAACCCAAGTTTAGCTGGGGTACTAGTTCTTTTGCTTTTTTCTTCTGGAGACTTTGCTCTAATTTTTCTTTGTAGGGTGTTAGAGTAATTACTGAAGCCTTTCCTGATCTGGCATGTGGTTTTTTAGTGGTATCTCTCTTGTAGAATGTAGAGATTGGACAGATGTCTTTTGGAGAAACAAGTTGTTGATGAGGTAGTGGTAGACTAGAAGTTCTTGCATTGGATGATTTGGTTGTTAATGGTTTGGTTCTATTATTTGTTCGTCCCTTTCATTTTGTGTTTATAAGTGCTCTTAAATTCCAAATTCAAAGTCCCTAAAAATATGGCGACAAATAGGGACCAGCCCAGTTTTTCGGGAACCATTGCAAGATATTTCCATCGTCGTAGCTTCGTTCTACGCTTTACAAAAAATACTGGCAACGGCATAAGGCGGCAACACAACACTAATCTGATTTCTCTAAGCCAGTTTTCTATTTCTTATGCGTAGTAAGTTCTTTTGCAACGGTTGCATTTTATGTGTAGAATGTGGTGGGAGGCAAATAATCGTCACATGATTCTGTTTAGCCAAATCTATTAGAGCAACGTTTCTCATATAAGAATAGTGCTGAAGTTGAAGTGTTGAAGCCATCTAGTGAAAATATCGGCCTGTACCCAACCTGACACATGGCATTCTGCGACTGCTTCAGTGGGAGCTCCTAGCATCAACTCTGTTTTCATATTTTTTTTTTTAGGGAAAATTAATAATGGTGGTATGAAAACTCCTGCAGCATTTATACATGTAATAGCAGTAATCAGCTTGCCCCTTTCTACTGAAATAAGGGTCGAAACCTGCTCTTCCCTCTCATGGAAATTATTTTGCTATGTTTGGGCTGAACAATTGTAAGGCCCGTTTCGTCTACATTGAATATACGTTGTGCAGGGTTAGTAAGCTTAAGATATTCTGGTTCATATAGGTCAAAGAACTTGAATACATTTTCAGGAGTAAAAGATTTTACTCGAACACATGAGATTACCTGAGGAGTACACATTGAAAGCGTCGGATGCCTTTTCAGAAAGAGCCTCAACCATTTTTTTTTTCGGCTGATTTTTTGAAGGTGCCTTTTGGTACTCCAATAACTTTTGAGGCATTCAAATAGCCCATCTCTCTATTTCTTACTGTATTTACAGCCAGTATCATATCATTTTTACACGGGGTCCTAATTTGAGACACTCCCAAATTTGGAACCTACAGGTATCTCAAATTAGGATTTTTCCGTTACCAATTACCGTTTCATTTGCATAAAATGTATTAACTAATATTAAACTAACAAAAAAAATAATTGGAGTAAACGTAATCATCTTACCTTGATGTATTGTAAGTTTTTTTTAAATTCCGAAAAAAATTTGTGTAGTGTGTAAATCAAATTAACGTCGACAAAACAACAAATGCACTTTTAAGCGTCAACTAAGAGCAGATCTACCACTACTGCACAGAATGATCAGTTTGCAATATTTTTACTAGATGTCACCCTATCGTACACAAATATACGACGGTGTCTCAAATTAGGCGCCTTTCTTGAATTCGGTGCCTTTCCTCTACTTCAGTATGTCTTTTCGTAAGAACAGATTTATCAATTTTAAACTATATAGCTGCACTTCTAAGAGATAAAGTGCCATCCTCTATTAGCTTTAGGGCTGTTTCCATGTCCTTTTTGTCGTAGGGGCGCTTTTTGGAAACGTAAACCTTCGGCATTATTCTTAAAGATATAAAAACTCCGTCTTGTTTTTTAACTGGCACGTGTCTCGTTTTTAAACTTGGTGGTGTCTCGTTTTTGCACCTATTATTTACGGCATGCTAGCTTGCCAACGAGTGAAGATAGACTCAGATAGACTAAACTCGTTAGTCGTTACTTACGTAATATCTCAATATCATAGCCGCGTGTGCAATTTTAGAAATCCGATACTTGCCGAGTCTTTAGGATCTCGTACAGCAGCGCAATAGGAAAAGTTCTTATAATCGTATATACAATTTAAAAGTTTTTTAAAGCAAAAGGCAAAGTCAGATGCGATAGTTTTTCTCTTGTTTGTGTTTACGTTTATTTATTATTCATTACATATTTCAATTGTATATATGCAGAAGTAATTTTTAACGTATGTTTTATAAGGATATTGTTTTTTGCATTAGGAAAAATTGAATGTCTTATTTTTGACCGAAATTTCGGTTGTCTTATTTTTCCACCACTTGACCCTAATCAAATTATTGATTCTTCTGGAGGTGATGATATTTGGGAACGTACACGTCAAGCGAAATATTTTAGATTATCATTGTAGTGTTTGAGATTGTACTCCTGATAGCGGTCATAAGGAACAACTTTCGTTCGCGTTACGTTTTGTAGATATCTATAAGACATAAAAATCAAGGTGCATTTTATTAGCTAACAACAAATTGATGAATCAACAGATTACTCACCATATGCGTTACTAAAACAATTAATGCATTTTTTCTCATGAAATATTTTTTCCGACTATTTTTGCCATTTAATTTGAACTAAATGTAATTTTTTTTGAATTTTTTGTTCCAGAGGTTATTAATATACGGCTTAACAAAAAAAAATAAGCCCTGGTTTATTAAGATACATTCAGTCAAATTATCTAACACGGCCTTAGAAATTAGCTCATTTTTCAAAAAATCTTATAAATAAAGAAATTAAATTTCGCAATAACTATTTAACCGATCTGGCCCATCTTTTGCACACAATTCCAACAAAATAAGACCCTCAAGTTGAGATACATCTAAACAAATTTTAATAAATAATATAAAACTTATTAACAATATTCAACAACGGCGATTTTGATTTAATTTTTCAATAACTCTTTTTTGCTTATTAATCGATTTTAATTTAGCATATCGTCGCCTTAAAATGTTAACATGCTAAATCCATTTTATCCAATTTTACAGGAGATTTAAAAAACGATTTCGCAGCATTCCTCTTTATAAAAATGAATGGAAAACAATAAAATAATGCTTAAAATTAGTATAATAATTGTTGTATCATTGAAATTATAAAAAATTATACTGATAATTTTAGTTTCTAGTATTTATTGGGAGATAGCTGGTTTTCAGTTTTTACAATTAGGCTAATAATGGACTTGGCAGTTTAGTGCAATTAAACACGGATATTCTATAGGCAACGAAACTTTATTATTCTAAGTAGGTACAAAAAGGATAAAAACAATAATAACGCTTACTCATAAGGAAGATCTTCATAAAATTTGTGGTAGTCGGTAGACTACCACAAATTTTATGTCTTCTTGATTGCCTGAAGGTCTTCATTTTTTTGGCGGTTATTTTACGTCTTTCTATGTATAGTCTCTTTTTGGCGCTTATTTTACGTCTTTCTATGTATAGTCTCTTCAATTGGTCCCAAAAATGTGAATTAATTTTGTTGTTCTTACGTTGAGGAATTGGTTTCCATTGATCAGCAAAGCTGGCCCTATAATAAATTTCACCTTCGGGTGTATACCTCAAAGCACGAATATCTGTAACTTTTAAATCACCTTTACCTCTTCCTGGTCTAATTATTTTATAGCGCTGAATTGAATCAAGATTTTTGAAAAAAATCATGTATTAAATAATTCACTTGGTAGGGAGCAGACTTTTTTCTTGCTTTTAGACAGATAGGTAGGTACGTAATCCGCTGGTAGGTTAATGACTTTATCTTTGAGTTTTTGTTCGATGGTTGCATGAACCGAATCAACTTCCATCTGTGTATGGCCAGGTTCAAGATATTTTTGCTCTATTATTACATTATGAGTGATTGCTAGATTCAACAGAGCATTGGCCATAACAGCGTTTCTATTTTGGCACCCACAACCATCCGAATACATTATACTGGTGCATCTTTCATCAGTCCCTTCTACAGAATAAGGGACACTGGGAAAATTTTTTGTTTTATGAAATACCACCAAATACTGGCAAATTCCTCAGAACTAAGACCGACTTCATATTCGTTCCATATAAAACAATAGGTATCGGAATTCACTAAGTTATAGAAACAGAAATGGTGTACTTGGAGTTTTGTTTTATAGTATAATGTGGAGACTTTTGAGTTTGGTGCCATCAACACGGCTTGCAAATCTGTTGTGAAACCATTTTGTTTCTCATTTTTTTCTTTTTCTTCTCTTGCTTCTACTTTCCTCTGTATGTGACTTTTAAATTCTTTTTCCCAAAGTTGTCCAACCCTGTAGCTAACACACTTTTCACATTCATCTTTTTTAGGGAGGAAAAGTGCAAAGTTCTTCTCATCGAAGATTTTAGAAAACTCTTCTTTCCTCGACTTGCACCAATCGTTGACATACAATTCGTAAGCATTTTGCCGAGACTGCCATTCAGCCAAAAGATTTTTTTTTGAGATGTTGACCTGCAATAATGGGACTCCATGACTGGTAAAGAATTTAAAAATTGCAGCAAGCATTCACGGAGATCTTTGAAAGGTAGCACTCCATTGGTTGACTTGCGTAGCTACTTGGAGCACGAACTCCATAAGAATTTTTCCAGCTAAGAATTGTCCAGTGACCAATTACAAGTACAGTATTAAGAAACATGGTTCTGCACACTCTAAAACTTTCTTCTTAAACAGGTAAAAAATATTCTGAAGTTTGTTTTCTTTTCGTCTCGTTTTCTTTTTTTTTTCGGTTCCGATGCCTTTAACCTGATTCTTAATAAAAACCTTTTTTCTCCCCAAGACATTTGCCAAAATTACTTAAAAATATGTTGCCTTTCATGTTCACTGATCAAAGAACATTTCATAAGACCTCTTTCTTTCGATGCACATTTGGATCTTGGTTTCATAACTCGTGCTTCTTTAGGATTATCATAAGACCATTTTTCATCGTGTTTCACTCAACCTAAATAAGGTTTACCACTTTCTTTTAATTTTTTGTTTTTCTGACTAAACCATGTTGCCTCCTGGACTTGGAAACGTTTTTTTCGTTTTTTACTTATTCTTTTAAATTGAATCTGTGTCGGAATATGGAACTAAATTAATATTGACTTCGTTATCATCAGATTCCTAATATTGTTGATTCTTTAGTAGAAATTTGGAACTGATCTTGCTTCTCATCATGCCCCTTGAGTTGTTGACTTCCGATATTGGTATCTCCTCATTTTCGTTTCTGTTCGGTTTCCCAACCATCTGGTTCTGGTTTGGGTATCTTAAATTGTCAAATGCTTCGATCATTGGTATCGCTATATCCGAGGCTATATCATCGTTTTCATTGCTTGCATCAAACATTGCATTGTTGTATGCATTAAAGTATTGCATTAATATTATTATTTAATGAGTTGGAAGTAGACTGTAGATCCACAAAAATTATTTCAACATTTTCAGAAACTTCAAGATTATTACTGGGTCAGTTTGCTTCTACTGTAAAATTGGTATCTTCATTGAGGTGTATAGTAGCGGTAATATATATAATAGAATACTTCAAATGAACGATTTGGATATTTTGATAGTTCTGCTTTAATATATAGCGCAGCGGCTGAGACATTACAGTGACCATCCCTCTTACAGCATGCTTGCATTGAGTGATGTAGAATAGCTTTTGTAATTACTGTTGCTATTTTTATCTTTATTGTTACTAAAAGAACTTTATAAAAACAGAATGTTGTGAATTGTCCCTTCTCTACAACATAAATAGAGAGCCAGACGACGTTGGAACTGGTCAAGTTTGTGGACTTGGATTAAACAATTCTTCGTCGAAAGCAAGTTATAAGTTGAACTGGTAATGAAAATGGTCGTGTAAATTAAAATCACTTCATTTTCTTATTGCACTTGTTACAAAAATACTACGTATTTATCTTAAGTTTACTTTTTGTTCTGCTGTTTCACGAAGAGACGCTTAATTATTTCGCGTGAATTTGACTGGCGATTACGAAATGCGATGGGTATGGTTATAGGGTCGTGATATTTGTTCGTTACTTGAATCGAAACTGTTCTGTCGAAATGTTACTCTAGTCCACTATTTATAGGAGAAAATATCCCAGCTTGTGACGATTTTAACCGTCATAACGACCTTTCTGCAACGTACCAACGATTTTTAACGTCGAAAACGAACTTTTCTTCGTGCTATATAGTGGCGTTTAAGCTAGTTTTTTCGATATATTTGCAAGCAAAAAATACATAAAAAGCAATAAACTGAAGATTTATTGCCTATTTACAAGTTCCGAAACTAAATACACCTTACTGGTCTCCCTTTGTGGACACATTAAACGTGTTGTTTTTATAATAAATTATCGAAGAAATATGATACTTATCTGGGTTAGCAAAACAATCTTTTGAACAGGTAGCTCAACTGAAAAATGGAATTAAACGTTTTGTGGTCGTTAAATACTGGTTTTTATATTGCCGATGAGGAGGTTTGGAGCTAACAAGATAACGAGAAGTATTCTTCTTTATTGATTGTAATGAAAAGAATAAAGAATTATTAAGGATAATATGTTAAGACTTTAACACACAAGTTAAATCTAAAATTAACGTAAGTAAACAGTTCAAGTTCAAGTCAGTTTAAAACGAGATTCTTTTCATTATTAAAGCTGCCGCTAGCAATCATGTTTTTTTTGTTTGTTGTTTTTCCGACAAGGTGACAGATATATAATTTTTTGACATTACACTTTTAACCATTTAAAAAACAATGAAATATAACCTTTTGTTTTATTTTCAAAATCAGATTTCCCTGCTCTTTGACTATACATATTACACATTATAATTTTATGATTTAATACTTACATCAATAAATTTGTATCAGTAAAACAACCAATATCTCGATACGTCCCTGGACAGCGGCTACTCGAATTTATAACGTCACTTTTTTCGATGGGCGATAGAAATATGGAGGCAACAATTTGTCTGAGTCACATAGATTACTTATACACTTAATTCATTTTCTCCTTCTTTCGAATTTTCTACGTCACTATCATCATTCAAATCAATAATAAATTTATTTCCACCATTAATGTGGAAGTGGCCAATCTTCTTATAATATTCTTCAACTTTGATTACTTTGGCGATTCTTTTCTGCCAGTCTTCTTTGGTAATATTAGATACTTCTTTTTTAATTATCTCAATTACCTTCTTGTCAAATTTAGGAAATGTATTTGCACGCCTTATACTTGGTTTTAATTGTCCCCAAATTAACTCTATAGGATTGAAAACACAAAAATAGGGGGGAAGTCTCAATATAGTGTGTCCATGCTTTTCGGCAATATTCTCTAGGGCGTATAATTTTTCAAATTTCTTTATGTGTAGAACTTCAATGAGTTGTTTTTTTGTATAAAAATCTTCGAAATACAAATCATTTTCCATTAAAAAATTTTGCAGTTCAGCTTTGTTTGAAGATGAATTTGGTATCTTAGTGAGCTGTCGGGAATGATACGAAGCGTTGTCAAGCACTATTACACTGTTTGGCTCCAAGTTTGGGATCAGTGAGTTTTCAAACCAATCTTCAAAAATATCAGCTTCCATATTCTTGTGGTAGTCAACGTTACAATCTTCTATTTTCTTCCCACATAATTTTAAAGCATTCGGAACCCAACCTTCACTTCCTCCGCAATGTACAATAATTAGCCGCGACCCTTTATTTGCAGGCATTTCTGATATGCACATGTTTGAACCATCTGTCCATCCTTTCTTAACTGTATCGTGGGTATCATACCAAGTTTCATCTAAATAGTAAATTCGCCTACTTTCTTGCCTATATTTTGTAATTTGTTCTAGATATATATTACGTCTGTTGACTATTCTTTGACTTTCCATAACTGCTTGACGTTTATTTATTGTTTTAAATTTAAATCCCATTTTCTTTATCCAATTTTGAAGAGTTTTATCACACCATTTCATATTCCAACCGGTTGTTTTCAATTTCTTTCGTATTATTTCTATTGTAGGTATTTCATTGCTTTTGTAGCAATCGTATATTGTGGTCTTCAATAGTTTTATAAGTGAAGCATCTATAGGTCTTGAACATTTGTAGTCACATCGCTTTTTGCGATGATAGGGTTCATTTTTAACTATTTTGTATATACTTGAAAGTGGAATTTCTGTTAAATCGGAAGTTGCTTGTGCCAACAGTTTTTCATCGAAGCCGAATTTCTTATGTAGATTTTTGTACACATTCAAACATACTTGCTGTGTTTCAGCATTTAAATGTATTCGAATCTTGTTTACAGGTACCTTTTTGTCAGGATTTATATTCACACCGGCACTGTTACTTTGTACATGATCATTATTTTTAAAAGCAATGTTTTCAACCACATTCTCCCAGGGACGCCACATCACTATTTAAAATAATTAAATTCCATCAAACACACCTACACTCTAGTCTAGTCTGCTTCCCAACTAAACTAAACTAAAATATTTCGCACCGACCAATTCAAGTCTGTGCGAACCAGTCGGGTCAGTGTAATCAGATATTAGATCAAAGGGTTCCGCTCTTAAAGAGTTTCTACAATATTTCTTACTTACACTATACAGTCTCGTTTAAATTTATAAATTTATTGTCCTCAAAGTTGTCTATGTGTGTTGTTTGTACCATTTCTATCATCCGTCTAGAAGAACGTGACATCTAAAAATATAAAAAACTTCATTTCATGACCATACTAAACAATAATGTTTTTTTATTAATATCCCCATTCAAAAATTCAACACCCAATTCAGCATATCAAATTTCAGTGAAGTGTGAGAGCCATTAACTAATATAAACATTAAACAAATCAGGATGGAACTGATGAATTTAAAACAGTATTTATTGTATAAATCAACTTTAAAAATGATTACAAGTATTTTTTTCCATTAAATATTATTCCAACACTAAAAATAATTAAAAATTTTCCCAAAATAATTAGTTAGTTCCACTCTTTTTGATTTTTTTTTAATCAATGAAAAGCTGCTAAATGCTAGTTTGTATAACAATATCTGCACAGAAATACTGCCCTAATGGAAACAAACAAGATTTATCGTGAAAATATTAACACATTTTACAATTAAACTTAATAAAAATGAATAATTTAATACACATCTACACTTACCTTCAATAAATCGCTCAAATAATTATAAACAGTAGGAAAAACTAACACCGGTGCAAAGCGTGTACTTGTCACATCAAGATTTACCATGCAAATGTATGGCTGTCAAGCTGTGTTACACGGGAAAATCAGAGCAATCAGAGTTAGCTGGTATTCACATCATACAATATTTTAGGTTTTAGATAAAAATGTAACATGATTGTTTAACTAATCGATAGACTAAATTAATAGTATTATTATGAAGATAGTAAAAACTCATTTGGATATTTGGATAAAATGTGGGCTTTAATGTAGGTTAACACTTTAAGGCGACGATATCTCATTTTGTGTATCTTTATTTTCCAAAAAAGATTTATGTTGACGTCAAATATTTTTAAGTTATGATTAAAATAATGAGTTTGATGTTTTGACTGTTGATTTAAACATATTTTAAATTACATAAAACATATTAAAAATCGATGAATCCCTAGATGGGAGTCTTTTGTAATATCTCATACTACACATTTCAACGGTCAAAACCGTCTATACAGTAATGACGAAAAAATTCTTATTTTTTACTAATTTGATTGATCTAAAAAACAAATGCAGCGTTGGAAGACGGAGAATTTTTCCGCGACCGGAAGAATTCCGGAGAATCAAAATAGCGGCTTCCCACGGTCGGCGATATTACGGACGTAAGCGGACCAGCACGCACCACGCACCGTGGGAAGGGTTTCGTCCGTGGTAGCGCAGACACGTCTGTGCTGGTCCGTCCTATCCATCTAGAGTCGGTAACATCAAAGGTGCGGTACAAGTCAGAAGTTTTTCATTCGCTGACACGAGTAGTTGTCTGTAGTGTTGTCAAAGTTGTTTTGCAGTTTTTTGCTAAAAAATGGAATGGAATTTATGGAATTCTACGGCACCAGAGCATAAGAAACGGAACCGATATATACGATGTATGGAACCGAATAAAAAATCAATTGAAGAATAGTACTATTTCGATTAAAGAATTAAAAAAGAAGAGAAATAATTTAATGCCGAATTTAATGTTTACAAGCCTGAGTGGCCTTTTTATGATATAATCAAACAATACTGTCACGGACCTACACAGACTGTCACGGACCGTAGGAAGAGCTCTGTCTGCGGTGCATTCTCGTCCGTGCTGATCGGCTGTCCGCGATGATCTGTAGAATCGCCGATCGTGGGAAGCCACTAAAAGACAGACGCGCTAGGATCGCGAGCACGAGCATATGCCGCACCTTTGATGTTACCGACTCTAGATGGATAGGACGCACCAGAACGGACGTGTCTGTGCTATCACGGACGAGACCTTTCCCACGGTGCGTGGTGCGGGCTAGTCCGCTTACGTCCGCAATATCGCCGACCATGGGAAGCCGCTATTAGACGATTGTTGCATATTTTTGTAAGGGTCTTCTCTAAGTCATTGTGTCCACCAGATGCAAAATATTAAATTGAACAAATCTTTATTTTGACTTAAATTGACGAGAAATTTATTATTACACTAATATTAAAATTTTATTTAAATAAATAAAATTACACCAAACTAGAGGCATTATCTTTATTGGTAAAATACGAAAGTATATTATTTAAAACTGAATTTTCTTTGTTGTCAGCTCTGCAACTGATTAAAGAAATTTTTAAATTCCTTGTACCGAAAAGATAACATAGTTTTGCGATTACTCGAATGTTGGTGGCACAAAATGCCGACAAAAAATTGCATTATCAAATAACAAAACCATTCATTATTCATTATATAAAATATTGGAACTGTTGCTTAATAGTCAAAATTTTGCTGAGTTTGCGATGACATCATTCAATTAAACAAAATTTCCTGAAAGTGCGCGGCTAATATGTATTCAAAAGTAACGAGACAATTTAATAACAGAAAATGTCGCCTACCGTGTAAATAAAATACCAAATATTTAGAATAACAAAATAACGATATATAATTTTCGTATTCACCTATTTTTTATTTTTCCGTGCCCTTGATACCTGTATGTGCATTTTTTGCCACTTACCAATCTTTTTTTAAGATTTCCATTTCATATATGGGGATCCCTTTCTAGGCAGATAATGTTCTTTAAAATACAGTCAAGTTTATGTTATTAATTTGTTTTTTTTTGTAAGTTAACCATGTTTTGGCTCATGTAAGTTTATTAAATGCTCACAATTATTAAAAAACATATTGACTTCAGTGGTGCATGGTAGATAGCTGAGTTAGTTAGAGCATAGGTGCGGATCGCTTAGATCGTGTCTTCAAACCCTACCCGGTGTCAGTTGTTTAGACATTTATTCATTTGGTTAGTCTTTATTACGGCTATGTTAACTCAAGCTTAAAATATATTTGCTCTGTTACGTTGTTCTAAGATTTAAAGTAACGTTTAATAAATAGCAATAGGCTAATGGGTAACTGCAAGATTTGCAAGACTCTTGCTGCAAGACCAAGACCAAGACAAAGACTGGGAGTGCAATACCAACACCAAGACCAAGACCAGGTGTATTGATGCAAGACCAAGACCAAGACTGTCCAAGTCTCGTCTTTGTTCTTGCATTTGGGCAACGCTACATCTTACGACTATTTTTGCTTCACCGCTAATATTATTTCCTACTTTCTTTTTAACGAATATGGGTTTTTGTTGGAAACCTCTTTTTTCATTTCTAGCACCTTGATATAGGTTTTTTATTTCTTTATTTCTGTAATTCTCTTCTATTTCTTTTAGCTTATTTTCTATGTGTTTTCTCTTCTTTTCTCTCATCACTCACGTTCATAACTACGTTATTTATTCGTCGGCGTTTTTCCTTAACTTCCATGATTCAATATGAGTTTAACTTAATTATTTAGGGCAGCTGTGAATAAAGTTAGAATCGAAATGATGACTTCCAACCTTGGATCGATATGAAAAGAAACTTCAAGAAACAAAAAATGGAATAAACAGTTTTATTCATGTCTTAACAGAAAAAAATATGAACTGAAAAATGAGGTCTCTTACCTTTGAAGATGTAGCATCTTGTATAGAAATTTTAATTTCGCATTGGTTTTGTTTCATACTTTGTGCCATTTCAGCCTTAAATGGACGAACAATTGTGATATTAACCGTTAGTGCAATTTCATTTGCATTGAAAGTATCAGAGCTTTGCAAAGCTTCTGCATTCCTTCGATTATCAATACGCCTCCGTGGACGGTCATCGAAGGCATTAGAGGCGATACTACCTGTTTCCGAATAGTCTTTACGAGAACTTCCAGCTGTGGTTGACAATGAGTACCCACTCTCAGTATCTGGGCTATTCTCGCTATCAGAGTCTAACACTTCTTCATCGGCATCAGGAATACGCGTCATTTTGGGAAGTGGTTTGGTAGCTTCCTTCTAAAAAGTTAAAAGAAATTCACTGCATTAAAATCATTTACTATGTTAGAAGTTGTGGAGCGACGGTTACAATAGGAACACAAAATTTACGAATACTGTGAACAATTGTATTTATTTTAATATATATTCGGAAATGGTTTTCTGAAATTGTATCCAATATGTACAATTAATCATTATACAGGGTGCGGCAGATAGAGGGCGGATTAGAAATAATATCTCGAGAACTAACGGTAACTGAATCATGAAAATTGGAAAAATTGGAATAAAGGGGTTTTGAAGAGTGACCTAATAAATCAAAATATTTTCATCTATTTACTACTGCTGGTTATACCGGAAATTGCTTGTAACTTCGTTTTTTTAATGGGACAACCTGTATATTTTTTAATTTTAGAAATATTTACGCTATTCTGAACATTTATTGTTAATACTTCCCTATACCTAGTGTGAACCGTGTATATAAGTTCAATATCCTCTAATATATTTTAAATAAAAGTTTAAATTCCTTAGGAACTTATTAACTACATACAGCATTATCGTTTACAGTGTTAAGTCGCCTTTTTCATTATACAGGGGGCTGTCAAAATTGTCATAAAACCGACATCCTAAATTTTAGACTAATTCTTTTTTTTTCAAAATTTAAACCATGTATGTGATTAATTATTTTAGAAATATGTTTTTCACTATCGATCTGTATTAGTATTTCCTATACATGTATAAATAAATTAACTTTATACATTTTTTTCACTAAAAAAAATTTTTCGTAGACCATGTTGTATTTACACGTTTCATATTGTAAGTTAAACATTGAACAATTAAAAAGGTGCTATCAAAGAAATTAGGCACTAGCTTATTGATGAAATAAATATTCAAAATGTTACCCATTAACATCCAATCATTTATGAACTGTTTTAATCAGATTTTCATTAGTAGCTCTTGATATTGATTATTCATCTATTTCATTGAGAACTTGAAGGACTTTATTTATTATAGCTTCTTTAGTAGTGACAGGTTCAAAAAACACCTTATTTTTAACATATCCCCAAATATAGTAATCTAACGGTGACAACGGGATTTTGGTGACCAGAGAAACGGATCTTTATTAGCTATCCGTCTGTCGCTAAATATTTCATCAAGCAATGTGCCGACTCCTCGAATATTGCGAGCCGGTGCTCCATCTTGTTGAAACCAAGCCTCGTTAGCCTTCTTATTATTACGTAAAGCATGCGGTGCTGGTACAATTACTTGCCGTAAAAAGAAACGCCCTCGGTTTAAATTTTCGTCGTAAATCATGAACGCTATCTTAATATTTTTCACAACACAAAAAACATTGACCGAAAATCTGAAATTGAAATTAACGATCCCACGTAAGCTGAGGATTTTCTTCACTCCAGAAGTGACTGTTATGACTGTTAAACATAAAATTTTTTTGTAAACTTCGATTCAACAAATAATATTTTTTTTTGTAAAATCTTAATCTTGGGAGTTCGGCCCTGAATGAGCCACCGAAGGGCGTGTTTATTTTGGTCTCAACAAATTTGCAAATTTTATGCAGTAATTATAACAGTTTATTTATAAATAGTTAAGTGACGATTACATGAAATTGTGTAAGTGAACACATTATATTAGTTTTCATTAATATAGCGTGATCAACCAGTTTTTGGTTGATTTGTAATTTAACAATTATTATCAATAAGATACGACTCAAGAAACATTCCAGTTTTATTACCTGTTTGATTACTAGTCAGGTCCGTATTATTTTTAAACACATGTCCTGTGTTAAAATCAAAAATGGAACCTTATATTCAGATTCTCTCTAATACACCACATGTATCGCAATTACAGACAAATACTAATAAAACCTATTCATCAGTATCTTCTACACAATTTTCTTCAAATAATCAAGCAATTATCTTTAGCGCTTTAGAAAATACGCGACTGCAAGATTACTTAATTTCTTTGGGTAACCTAATTAATCCCAAAAATATTATCTTTTCCTCCCGACAATCCAATAATCGGATTTGCTTGTACCTTGCAAACAAACAAATCGTGGACGAATTTATGCAAAACCATGGACAAATAGAAATCTAGAACAATATTGTACAAGCTAGAAGACTAGTTTCACCAGCGGAACGTATTGTTTTTTCAAATATATGTCCAACAATACCACACAATCTGTTAGTTGGTTATCTACAAAGTATTGGACTTAATATAGTCTCTCCTGTCACTTATCTATAAATCAGTTCAACTCTTCCCTAATATAATCTTATTTTAAGTTTCAGAAGACAAATATACGTCAGTCCCAATAATATCTTCTTACCCGACTCATTAACCTTAGACTTCGATAATACAACATATCGAATATTATTATCTCAAGAAACTATGGCCTGTTACAACTGCAAAAAGTCTGGACATATCGTCACCAACTGTTCCGATAAACTGAAATCAACAACAAATTTAATTGATTCTAATAACAGTCAACCTACTACTCCTTCCTCCCTTGACATCATGCCTCAACCTGCAGCAACATCCATATCAAACGAACAAATTTCCGTCCAAGAAAAATCAGCAAATAATCTGAGCAATCCTAACATTGCTAATGGTCAAGGAGAAGTTAACACCATGGAAAGCTGCAAAGTAATTAATATCGATCTTGAGCCGAAACGTAGTATTAATGATGTTCTTACGTCTCCAGAAACAACTTATGCAGAAAAATCATTTGCTGTAACTACATTCAAACCTAGAAGCAACGAGGAGCATACATACATAAAATCAACAAAATCATATGACTTTGTGCCTGCCAAAGATTTTATTCAAAATCATTTACTCACAGTTATTCTCAATTTTGACCAATTAAATCTACTTCTAAGCAATGTTATCGGCGTGCAAGATCCTCCTAACATAATTCAAGAGTTTACTTCTGACCTTCTAGAATTAGTTAATATGCTAACTCAAGTTCATCCGCAATTAAAAGATATATCAACCAAACGATATATAACTTTCTTAAGAAAGAAAATTCTTAAGAAAGAAAGAAAAAAAGAAAGTTCTAAGACACTTGGGTAACGACATCTCTGAATCCGAGGGCGAGTCATCTCAGGTTAACCCGTAAATTCATATTTTTCGTATATAATATAATTGGGTATATAAAAACTACTGCAATGGGATATAGATGTATTTTTCCGTCGACTTCCAACCATACAAAAAATTATTTCTGCATTCTCTACCGGAGAATAATATGTCTCCATGAAACAAATTTAAACCTCCCAAAAAACTATAATTCCAAATATTTTAACATTTTTAGAAAAGATAGAGTAATGACATTCATTTCTCTTCAGACGGAGTTATGACACTTGTCAAAAAATCTTTGGTTGCAAATGTTTTTCCTGTTAATAGTAGCATTGGAGCTATAGTTATAGAGATCATCCCTCCCGTTCCAATTTTTATATGTAACATTTACCTTCCATCTAGTTTCTCAGCTACATATGAAGATTTAAAAAGTCTTATCGAACAGATACCCTCTCCTCGAATCATCGTAGGTGATTTTAACGGTCATAACTTTATTTGGGGTTCTAAGTGTACCGATCACAGAGGAAAACTTCTAGAAAAGGTAATGCAGGATCTTCAATTAAATTTCCTAAATAATGGGTCACCTACAATATTTAACATCTGCACTGGAGAATCCTCCGTGACAGATTTAAGCTTCTGTGATCCAGGTCTAGCTCCATGTCTCTCTTGTACTGTTCTGAAGTATACTTATAGTAGCTACCATCACCATATTACCATTGAGAATCTCTCAGGTCAGACTTGCCCAATATCTTTCTTGTCCAAATGGAATATAAATTGGGCTAAGTGGATCGATTTTGAAAATTATATAGATAAGGCTTTGGAGAGTCTCATACTGAATGATAATATAAACGATTCTTTAAGTAATTTCAATGGTGTCATCTTGCAGAGTGCGGAGCTCTTCATCGGCAAAACAAAGAACAAATCATGTTCCTGTGCCTTGGTGGAATTCGGAGTGTAACAAAGCAGTACGCGCCAGCGGAACAGCTTTTAATATATTTAAGAAGCATAAACACTCAAAAATAAAATTAACTACAAAAAAAATGAAGGCTAGAGCTCAACGTTTAATAAATCAAACAAAAAATCCAGTTGGGACCAATATGTCTCTAGCATTAACAGTAAAATTTTTGGTATAAAGGAGTTATCCCCAATATCTAGTCTCAAAATAGGTAATCAAATTGTCACCTCTTCTCTTGAAATTGTTAACACATTAGCTAAAAACTACAAAGAAATGTCTTTCAATGAAAATTTTGACCCTGTATTTCTGGATACAGCGGCCGTATAAAAATACGGCCCCTCTATTAATATAGATAATAAACTAGGGGCCGAAAGGTCTAACCTCTCTCTAGAAAACTACAACATTCCATTAAACGCTCCGCTCACGTTACAAGAACTAAACAACTCACTTAACGATCTAACAGAAACAAGTCCTGGCCTGACGATATCCCAACACCTACCCACATCTGCTAAAAATTACATGCTTCAATTATTTAACTTCATCTGGCAGCGACACCAGTACCTATCTGTTTGGTCAAAATTTATCATTCTCCAATTTCTCAAAAGCCAAAAATCTCGTCTAGACCCCGATTCCTATAGACCGATAAGTCTAACTTATGCAATGGGCAAGCTACTAGAAAAAATTATTAACTCAAGGCTGACTTGGCATCTAGAAAATTCGAACTTACTTATAAACGATCAAAATGATTTTCGATCCGGAATGTTGGAGGAAGAAAACGGTATCCCTCAAGGCTCAATTATTAGTCCTACACTTTTCTTAATTGCTATTAATGACATAATTAAAAACCACAAAAAACCTTTAAAAGCACGTTTATATGCAGATGACTTGGTGGTTTATGTAAAAGACAAAGATAGTAATTTAACTTCAACAATTTTGCAAAGCTTCTTACAAAAACTCGAAAAGTGGTCTCGTGATATCGGTTTTGAATTATCGGTTACAAAAACCGTTGGTATAGTATTCTCAAAAAAGAACTTATAACATAATCCCAATCTCAAGTTTTTCAATGCATCCTTCACGCTATCCTTCAAATCATGTGTAAAATTCTTAGGTATGTGGTTTGATAATAAACTTACTTGGAAAGAACATATTTAGAAATAATTAGTTTTGACTTGATATAAGAAACTTAACCTAATGAGAACACTGTCAAATAGATATTGGGGCTCTGATCTCTCTACCTTACTTACAATGTACAGAACTCTAATTAGATCAAAAATTGATTACAGATCAATCGCTTAAGACTCTGCTTCCCCATATTGTTAAAACAGATAGACTCTATTCACAACACAGCACTTATAATGTAAACAAACCTCTATTTGATTTTAGATTCATCTAAGTGTGATAAAGGAGTAGGTGCTGCATTCTTTACTTCAAGCGATACATATCAAGTTCTTCTTCCAAACTCCTTTTCGATTTTTCTCCACTGAGCTCTATGCAATGCTTACAGCTATCATGCATATAAATTCTACTAACATTTCTAACTCTGTTATCTTAAGTGACCCACTAAGCGCCCTTCAAATCCTTAAACAGATCTATCCTAAAAGTCCCATTGAGAAACTGATAAAACTAGAACTCATGCAGGCTCAAGAAAATTCTAGGAGTATCAGATTTATACGGATTCCATCCCACATTCGCATTGCTGGTAACGAAAGTGCGGACCAGTGCGCGAGTGAAATTGCTAACTGTGCCGATATAGAAAAAGCCGAGTATCGAAATACCGCGAGTGATGAAAGCTTTTATAAAGAATCGAGTTTTGTGCAAGTGGAAAAACGAATGGCAATCTTCTCAAACATCACTGAAGCAAACTAAAAATGACGTTACTGCTTGGAACCCGCAACCAGAAACAGAAGAAAACAATTGGTGAAAACGAGATTACGAATTGGATACACGAGACTTAGTCACTCATATTTATTGTCCAAAAGTGATCCACCTATGTGTGAAACATGTAATGTACAAATTACCGTTTACCCTTTATTAATTAAATACCATAGATTTGCCAATTTTCGTCTTACATTTAACATACCTAACAGTTTAAGTAATTTATTAGACACTAATTTTTCAGCTAGTAATATTTTTTTTATTAAAAAGAAAACATTGCCGCATCCACCAACAGGTTATTAGCGGCGTTACTCAGTAAATAAAACATTAAATCTGATACAAAATATTGATTGACCTTAGGTAATTTAATAAGTTTTTTACGGGACAGTTTTCTCCTAATAAATCTGGTAGAGTATTTGGTATATTGTTTATTAAACGTTCTCTATGGAATTTTGGACACCCAGTTAACAAATGCGCTACAGTAAGAAGCGTAGCACATAGGTCGCACAGGGGGCGTTCACTGGCCGAAAGTAAATAAGAGTGTGTGATCTTAGTGTGTCCTATACGTAGGCGCGTTAGAACCGTTTGAATAAACCGTGTACTATCACTAGTTTTCCAATGTCGTGTATCTGGTTTTAGCGATCTTAATTTAGATTGCGATAGAAACCATTCGCGCTGCCACTGACCAATCACTTTTTGTTTAAAAAAACGTTTTGAGATCTTTACATACACTGTCACGCACTAATTCAGATTCCGCACTTGTTGCTGCATCACGAGCACTACTGTCTGCCTCTTCATCGCCGATAATTCCAATATGCGATGGGATCCATATAAATTTAGGATTGGGCGATTTGTAGTTCAGTTTTTATTAGTTGCTCCAGGGGCTGTTTAGGATACAGATGCTGTATTGCAAGAAGAGAGCTGAGCGAGTCCGTGAAACAGAGGTTTTGAAATTCTTAAGAGGTTTGCATATTTTAGGGCACGGTACAAAGCAAACAATTAAGCGGTGAAAACACTTGAGCTAGGCGGTAGTTTATATTTGAAAGTAGACGTTGGAGTAACAAATGCCAATGCCATCATTAGATTTAGAGGCATCGGTAAAGATATTTGTGTAGTTAAGGTAGTCTCGTTCAAGAATCTCGTTTAGTTTGTTTTTAATTAGTATGTTGTTATTGTATTTTTTGGAGAACTCTATTAGAGAAGTGTTGCAATTTGGGATACTTATTAACCATGGAGCCGGATGTTGGATGTTACACTGAAATACGTTTGGGATTATTGTATCAAAATTATTCAGGATTGATCTTACTCGTGTGTAATAAGGTTTTCCAGTACTAGGTTTATTAAAGAGAAAGTCAAGATTATTTTTAGAAAAAGTATTTTCGAAGAGTGGATGATCCTTATTAGCAGCTATAGAAGAAGCGTGTGAAAGTGTTAAAAGTGCTCGCCTATACTGCAATGATGGTTCTCCAGTTTCAGAATATAAGCTTTCTATGGGTGAAGTGTGAAAAGCTCCGAGAACGATCCGAAGTGCGGCATTGTGGATTGTATCTAACGGTTTTAGGGTACTCTTGGTTGCAGAGGCATAAACAATTGAACCGTAATCGAGTTTGGATCTAATTAGTGTTTTATACAGAAGAAGTAGTGTAGAGAAGTCAGAACCCCAGAAACGACTTGATACGGTTTTAATCAAATTGAGTCTTTTGTTGCATGTTAGCGCCAATTGTTGTATGTGCTTTTTCCAGGAAAGTTTTTGATCCAGCCACATACCAAGGAATTTCAAGGAGTCTTGGAATGGAATGATGCTGTTGTGAAGATAAAGGACTGGTGTAATGGATGATTTTTTCGTAAACACCATACCAGTTGTCTTTGTAACGGAGAATTTGAAGCCCGTACTAGCCGTCCATTCATCTAGCTGGGTTAGAAATGTCTGTACTATTCTGCACATAGATTCCTTTTGTGCTCCTTTAATATACACCACTAAATCGTCGGCGTAGAGGCGAGCTTTGAGAGGTTTATGTAATTTGTTTAATATGTTGTTTATGGCAACTAAGAATAGGGTAGGACTAATTACTGAGCCTTGTGGGGTACCGTTTTCTGCAGTATAAAAATCAGAATAAACGTTGTTAACTCTTACTTAGAAAGAAAAGTCTTTTAAGAAATTTTCGATATAGGCTAAGCTGTGTCCTCTAATATAAGGAATATTTTCTAAATTCTAATTTTGTAATTCTGTAGCCGCCGCTAATAGCCATTATGGTGGATGCGTTTGTAATTTCTAAATAAAAAATCTTAATCTTGGCATTTTATTAAAACCCATTCACAAAATTCTATACGTCCAACATAATCTCCAGAATATAAATGTTGAGCTAGTGTACACGAATAAAAGTTCCAATAATAATGATTTTTAAAATTCCGTGAATTGTCCGAGTCGTTACCTGTAACAATCGCGCACATTATCATAAGGATTGGCTGCAAAATATCCCAAAAAGTTCCTAAGAAATTTAAACTTTTATTCGAATTACATTAGGGAATATTGAAATTTGAAAAGTGTAATTTTGATATAAAAACCATTATAACTCAAAAATGGTTCACAACAGGTATAGGAAAGTATTAACAATAAATGTTCAGAATAACGTGAATATTTCTAAAATTAAAAAATATACAGGGTGTTCCATTAAAAAAAAACGAAGTTATAAGCAACTTCCGGTATAACTGGAAGTAGTAAGTAGATGAAAATATTATCATTAAATAGTTCACTCTTCAAAACTCCTTCATTCCAATGTTTAAGATTCAGTTTACCTCCAGTTGTCGAGATATGTCAATTGGCCGTTTATCTGCCGCACCCTGTATATTAGATACAAACAATGATTGATTACTGTTCATTTCACGGATTTTATCCTATGAGTGAAATCATACTCGAGGAACTTTATTAATACTTCACGACGAAATAACTTATGTACTCGTCTACATAAGTAGATGTACTAAATACAAAGTAAAAAACTAATAAAATTCTCAATAAAAATAGAGATTTTATGATTAGAAATAAAAAACAACATGGCCAAATTTTTTAAAACTTGTTTCACATGAAGCCATAGAAACAGGTACGGTTAAAAAATTCCTAATACCAGAGTTACATCTGGAAAACAGAGAATGAGATCATTTTTGACTATAATTTCTAATATTTCAGTTGGCTGTTTTTCACCTGAAGTTATTTCATTAATTAGTTTACCGCCTACATCTTTTATACTTTCTTCAATACTTTCTTCCTTCTGCAGCTGTAACTTACTATCTACGTCCATGAAAGCTTTAATAAAGTAATCATTAGAGGTGTTATGAAACTCATACCGAAAGCAGAATATTGAATCTTCTTCTTCAGCCTTTATTCGTTCACTGCTGGACATAGGCCTCTTTCATTTGCTTCCATTAATTTCTACTCTTGGAAATTCTCATCCACTGCTTGCCCGCGACTTATTTGATATCATCTGCCCACCTCTTCTGTGGTCTGGCTACTCCTCGCCTGTTCTCTCTTGGTCCGATCAATTGCCACTTTAGCCTTGCTATACGTTCTGCGACATCAGCAATCTTTGTTCTTTCCCGAATGTCGATATTTAGAATCCTGTCACTCAAACTAATCCCTCTCCATCGATCTTTGGATTGTACTGAGCTGCTCTAAAGTTTTCTTTGTAAAGGCCATGGTCTCCATTCTATATTATGTAGTTACAGGCAAGATACATTTGTCATAAACTCTACGTTTTAGACACATTGGTATATCTTTATTCTTCAAGATAAAGTTTCACTTGCCGAAAGCTGCCTAAGACAATTGTATGCGTCTTTTTATTTCGGCTATTTGGTTTTCGTTGCCGATTTTAATGGTATGTCCAAGATATATATATATATATATATATATATATATATATATATATATATATATATAGTGGTCTACATTTTCAAGACTGACGTTGTCAGTTACAATATTAGTTTGTAAATTACCCATTATTTTTGTTTTTCAAAGGTTCATTTTAAGACCTATTTTATTTGACTGCTGATTTAATTCCTTGGGCATTTGCTCCAGTTCCTTGATATTTGTATTAAATAATACTATGTCGTCCGCAAACCTCAAATGACTCAAACGTACACCATCAATATTTAGACCTATTTGCTCCCAGTCGAGCTGTTTGAATACATGTTCTAATGCTAAGGTAAAAAGCTTTGGTGAAATAGTATCACCTTGTCTAATACCTTTACCAAGACGCATTTTTTCAGTTTTTTCGTCTTCATTGACTTTGATGTGGAATGTGGCATGTTCATAAATATTTTTAATTAGTGTAGTGTACCGTGAGTCTATTCGAGCATCCCTCAGGGCTGATCAAAAGGACCAAGTTTCAATACTATCGAAAGCCTTGTAAAAGTCAATAATTTCTTTTGTTTGATAGGCTCGCAAGTCTGACCGTATGCTCTTTTTAACTTTATTGTTGATAGCCTTATACTCTGGTGATTCTTTCGATGTTCTTCTTTCTTCCATTAAATCCAGTGTTGTTTGTTTCAATTTCGTTTTTCTCGGATTTTTATTTTTACCACAGATCTCTTTTGCATTTGATGTTATGTCATTCGTTAGTTTTTGTGTGAGTTCATTTAAACTCTCCGTGTTGAATACTGGTAGAGGTCCTAGTCTCTTTTTTAGTTCACTTTGACATTCCTCTTGATTCATTTCGAGTGCTTCTATGTTTGGTAATTTATTCTGTGTTAATAATTTTCTCCTATCGAATTTCGTATTAACTTCTATTCGTACCCTAACTAATCGATGATCACTACCAATGTTGACAGAATTTAATACAGTAACATCTTTAGCAATGTTTTTAAAGTTAGAGAGTATAAAGTCAATTTCATTCTTTACTTTGCCGCCTGGGCTGTGCCACGTCCATTTTCTCTGCATCTTTTGCTTGTAGAAGATATTTAAGCAGAATAGTTTTTCTTTGCTGAGGAAATTTTCGAGTATATCTCCCCTGTGATTTCTACTTCCCAGTCCAAAATTTCCAATATATTCGTTGTCGTTGTTATTTTCGTTCTTTCCTATTTTAACGTTGAAATCTCCCATAATTATTGCGTAATATGTTTTCTCTTGCTCTTGCTCTTCTATTGCGTAATATATTGTAATCTGTTGGTTGATACTGTTACATTATTATAATTTTAACTTTTTAATTTTAAATAAGGCTGACATCTGTCAATTTTAGACAACTACCGTAAGTTACACTGACTGCTCTGACACAACATCCGTCCTAACTTGTCAACAATGTCATTTTGATCAGTTGTTATCAACAGGTCCTCGTAGGCACTTCGTCTCAGGACCATTTTACTCATGTAGAGTCATACGCCGCCATGTTACCTATCCAACGGTAACTTAACCATCACAAATTAGAAATACTAATAATGTAAAACAATTTCAAATTTATAACATTTAAAGGGTTTTTACCCATATATTTTGGTGGCTACCAGCATGTACAACCGTAAGTATTAACCACATTTTGCTCTAACCTTTGTCAACATTTTCATTTAACGTTATTTTTAATTAAAGTGGTTATATACTTTCAGGTTTGCACTGATGATGGATTGTTTAATCCGAAAACGTTTTGCAATGTGTTTGTGATAGCCCGTTTGAGGCATTTTTATATACCTTTTATAAAGGATTTTAACAAATTTTTTTTTTTATTTTAAATCAGTTTATATTTGTTTTAGTTATATGTATTTCGGACTAAATAGGGACAAATACAATAGTTGCAACATATACAAAGTAAAAGCCATATAAGAAAACCGGTTAGTAATTAGGCGATTATCAGTGAGCCTCAAACAATTTTTAAAATTTAAAATTTAATTCCAATCACTTGAAAAGTAAATTATTTAATTTGATATATTTTACGTTCAGTAAGAATATTGGATTTTGTTCTATTAAAAGCAAATGAGCTGATACATCACAATTACTAAATATATATATATATATATATATATATATATATATATATATATATATATATATATATATATATATATATAACACAGATTCGTAGCAAGCTAGATTATGGATCAATAGTGTACAGTTGAGCCAAAGGTAGCTTATTAAAGAAATTGGACATCATACAAAATACCGCATTAAGGCTTGCACTTGGAGCCTACAGGACCAGTCCAGTAGAAAGTCTTTATGTAGAAGCTGATGAACCACCTCTTTCAATTAGAAGACACAGACTAAGCCTACAATATGCAGCTAAAACAGGAGCAAACTCTAATAACCCTGCTTACTCCTACACATTTTCTAACAATTTTCATTTAATTCTTGAACAAAAACCCTTTCTTTCTGCATCATTTAGTAAAAGAATCACAGGTTTCTATTTTCCGAAAGTTATTTCCAATGAAATAAACTACCGTCCTCCTTGGACCATAAAACTCCCCACATGTAATACAAATCTTCTACTGTATCCTAAATCTGATACTTCATCACATATAATTCTACAACGGTTTCAAGCGATTAAAGACAAGTACAAAAGATATTACCAAATATATACAGACGCGTCAAAAACTTCTGAAATGGAAATGGTAGGCGCAGCTTTCGTTGACGAAACAAATAAACATCAAAAAAGAGGTTAGTCTTTGTAAATGGGTATATTTATTTAAAAAACCCTTAAAAGGGCTACATCAATAAAACAAACGTTTTCGGACCACACAGTCCATCATCAGGTTTTAAAATCGAAAAATGCTAGGTCGCAATGCCTGAGCCACCAAAATACTAGGGTAAAAACCCTTTAAATTACATTTAGTTATAAAAGATTGTACATTGTGTTGTAAAATAACTGTGATGTTCAGTATTAAATTAAATTTGGCTAGAGGTAACACATGGCTGAAGCGAGTTCCAGAGCCGGTGAGAGAGAACCTCTACACGCGGAGAAGTTCCCAAGAACAGTTCCCAGCTGTTCTCCGCGTGTAGAGGTTCTCTCTCACCGGCTCTGGAACTCGCTTCAGCCATGTGTTACCTCTAGCCAAATTTAATTTAATACTGAACATCACAGTTATTTTACAATACAATGTACAATCTTTTATAACTAAATGTAATTTAAAGGGTTTTTACCCTAGTATTTTGGTGGCTCAGGCATTGCGACCTAGCATTTTTCGATTTTAAAACCTGATGATGAACTGTGTGGTCCGAAAACGTTTGTTTTATTGATGTAGCCCTTTTAAGGGTTTTTTAAATAAATATACCCATTTACAAAGACTAACCTCTTTTTTGTGATACGTGGTATACAGCCAGCTACAGGAATTTTTCCTTGTGGATTTTAAATAAACATCAGTTCCAGCTACCTAAGGAGTACTCCATATATTCCGCCGAATTGTATGCCATATTTAAAGCTCTACAACATATATCAAACCAGCTCAAATTGGAAGCAGTCATTTTCACAATTTCTTTATGCGCGGTACAAGGAATATTATGCCAAACCACCCAACTGGTTTACCCAAACCACCCAATACTATGCCAAATTAAAATTGATCTATTAGAACTTTACAGTAAAAATAAAAGGGTAGAATTTGTTTGGATTCCATCTCATGTAGGCATAATAGGTAATGAAAAAGCTGATCGGGAAGCTAAAGAAGCCTGCTATATGAATAGACCAGATAAAGAGCTCCTAAAAATTCCTCATTCTGACATTAAAAACACCATCAAAGAATTTTCAATCAGAATATGGCTCGAAAGATGGAAAAAACTTGACGACAACAAACTACGACGCATCAACCCAAATTTGTCACCAAAAGGGATAATGCCACAAAAACGACGAGATCAAGTCATACAACACCCCTTAAGAATAGGACATACCAGGTTAACCTACCAGTACCTAATGAAGAAAGAACAAAAACTGTGCTATGTTTGTGATATTCCTCTGACAATCGAACACATTATTGTTAGCTGCCCACTCTATCACCTGGAACGACTTCAAAGTAATTTACCAAGTGATCTGAAAAGTGCTCTGGACTATAGTAAATGTGATAAAGTGACTAAGTTTCTAAAACTGACTAAATTGTACAACGTAATATAAAAATAGTCTTAAGTTATCAATAATTGTAAATAGTAGTGATAAGCAAACATCTCATTTTATATACATCTCTTTTCCGCCAATAACCTTTCATGGTTGACGCGGTTTACTTAATAAAAAAAAAGCAAATGAAATAAATATAATATTTATATATAATTTATTAAACACAATAAAATTTATTTTAAATATAATAGTAATCATTCAGTTTACTATAAGTCTCTATATAA